ACCACTAAATTTAGAGTTGATACTGTGTGGATCCATCTTCTTTTCGGATTCGGAGTCACCATTTCTACACTCTTATTTTCCGACTCTTCTTTCTTTGACTCTTCACGACTCACTGTGGTCTTTATCTCTCTCTTTGTCCTCTATTCTTACTTGAGCGTCGGAGAATTCTCGGAAAACATTCCCCAATCGTGTTTCGCGGCCTTTACGTGTTTGCTTACTGTGCAGGAGCGGATCCCCCCAGTTGTTGTTTCAAAGAGAACAAAATCCGCCGAAACATTAGTATAAATTAATTAAAACGTTTTAGAAATCCGATAGAAATTTATTTACATTATTAATATTATACGAATAATTTCTAACACTATGTGCTAGATTATAGCTTTATAGTTTAAATGATGAGGAATGAGAAAAAGGAAGAAAAAAAAAACAAATCTTTAATTTTCGTGAACTCAACCAAATGCATATGCATGAAGAAAACTGTCTAATCTATCGGTGAAGTCAATAATATGTTTTCTCAACAACCATGAAATTGTATAAATAGTTTGGATATCCTAATTTTTTTAGTGGATCAGTTTGTATTAGATTTTAGATTCAAATATATTGTCCACCATAAGAAAAATCCAAAACTCTAACAATTTAGAGTTCTTCTATTTCTTTGGATCGTTATTGATTACGTGTAACTTATATAACAATCCTAAGAAATAATGAAGGTTCTTTGAGAATTCTGTCTATTTCCTTTTACGCGGGTGACAAAAAAACAAATTAATATAATTCGTTGGACCAATATATTATATTGTAAATTTCAATTTCTTTCCAAACCAAAACTTTCCAATTCCACTATCCGACACTGCAAAGATACTCCACTAATATAGAAATTACGAGCTATTAAAATTATAGGAGCAAAGTAGGGATCCTATATCGTTTAGTCATCATTAGCTAGCCCAATGTCTACAGCAACCTTGCAAATATATAAACTCAAAGTGAAATTGTAACCATATTTTTTGTTAAATAAAATATAAAAGGATAATGTTGGCCACCGGAAGTGCTTCTGGATCATTTAAATTCAATAAATTTGCGTATCTTCCGGTGTAATTATGAACTCACCAACCGCTGATTAGGTGTTTACTTAGATTATCTTTCATATTTTGTTTATGTTCATCACACGTTTATAATTTGAAATTTCACATAAATAAGTCAATATGAAC